TTTTTTTTTTTCCAAAAGATAAAGCAATATATTAAACTCAAGTAGAATACAAAGGAGTAACCAACTGATTACAACATATACTAACTAAACCTAGTTGGTAAACGAGCAAAAGGAAAATTCCCCAGCTCACTAACAGACACAAAAGAGACAGCACAACAGACCAACTAAACAACTACAAACACACAAGAAGAAAAACAACTACACAAATAAAAAAGGTCCAAAGCAAACACATTACAATTTAAGCCTAAATCCAGCCTCCGATTCAAAGCAACAACAAGCTTCTTGTTCCTGGTCCAGCACTGCCCCTCTTGCCACCTTTCCTTGCGTCACCCAACAGCCATCTCCAGTTCCTTAGCTCATCTGTTAGCTCGGAGCCATAAGAGCTTAAAGTTTTGCACCATTCTCTTACCAGATAGCCATCCTTCAATGCTGATCCTTTTACCTCAAGAGAAAAATTGTCTGAGAGTGGAGCAATGACAGATAAAACTATCTGCCCTACCCCTCAATTGGATATGATTTACCACAGCCTGCACAACACCATCTCCACCAATACACAGAATACTATTAAACTACTTCCACTCTTCCAGTACTTTGTTTACTACTTCCACTTCAGACAACAACCATCCATTTCTAGTTTTTCAAAGCCACCAAAAAAGGTAAGTTGAGAGACTTAACCTATCTTTGATGGTTTTGTTATTTTGGCAATAAGAAATTTCTAACCACCAGCCTTTTGAAAAAAGATTTTTGTACTTGTAACTTATTCTAATAAAAACCCAGCAGTATTCAGCATCTCCTTGCTCTTTTGCAATCAAAGAAAATATGGTCTTGATCCTCTGCCACCTCTCCACAGTTTTTGCAAATAGCATCCACCTCTACCCCTCTCTTTTGCATGTTCAGATTGGTCCCCAGAAACCCATGCCAGCTTTTCTAGATAAAGTTCTTGATCTTGTTCTCAAAGGGAAGTTTCCAGGTCCTCTGTCACATCCTAGCTTTCAACACAGTTCTTCTGCTAGATTCTGCTTCTTGCTTCTATTTCAAGATTTTAGAAATCAAGAGCTCATACAGAGATTTAACAATGAATTAACTCTCCCCTCTTATGCCCATTCCAGACCACTTTGTTTGCCCTTGTGAATTGGCATAAGGGAATTTTCAGTATTTTTTTGCCACTTTAGGTTCAAAGGACTGATTAACCGATTTTAAATCCCAAGACTTACTCTCAGCACAAATTAGCTCCCTCACCCAAGTTATCCTAATCCTATCACTCTCAAACAGACACCTAAGGTAGGAATCCAACAAAAATCCCACACATTAATTGTAGCCCCATTCCCCACTTGAAACCTAACCCCTAAGTTCAACCCCTTTCTTGCTCCCAACCAGCTACTCTACATCCAAGAATCCCCACTACTTTTTTAACAGTCAATAAACTTTTCTTGTGAAGATACATACCTCTCAACACTCTACTCATAAGTAAATTTGGTTGAGTCAACACTCTCCATAATTGCTTTCTTAACACGGTTTGGTTAAGGGTTTTGAAGTTTCTGAATCCCAGCCCCTTCTCTATTTTAGGTTTGGCAGTATAATCCCACCTAGCCCAATGCACTCTCTTACCCCCAATCTCATTTCTCCCCTACCAATAGTCAGATAGCTCCCTGTTCAAATCATCACATAAGGATAAAGATAATTGAAAACAGGACATGGCATAGGCAGGTAAAGCACCTAAAATAGTCTTATTAATATATGAATTTGACCACTTCATATTTCAGTTTTCCACTCTTTTTTTTTAACTCTTTCCAGAATAAAATTGAATGTTTGTTTCTTTGATCTGCTAATCCCAAGTGGGAGCCCCAAGTAATTCGAAGAGTTGACTCAAGCAATCCCATGTAAATTCCTACAGATATCAGCCTTAAGCCTGAAAGAAGAATTTTTAGAGAAAAAAAAATAGAAGACTTCCACGTATTGACCTGTTGACCAGAAGAAGAGATACATATTCAAGATGTTCAAGATGACCTGAGCTTGAGAAATAATGGTGTGAGAATATTGTGGTTGATTTTAAAAGATATGGAATCTTTTGTTTGTGTATTTGTATTTAAATAATTAAATATTAATTATTAATTAAAAGTATAAGATATGATGGGTATTAATGTATTGTTAATTTTTCAATAAAGAAATGTCAAAAAGTAAAGATTTTTTTGGTAGAATTATAGTCATTAATTAAAATATAAGATAGGATGTGTAGTAATTATTAATAATTTGTAATTAAAAATATGTCAAAGTAAGAGTGTTATATATATACATATATATGTGTATATGTGTGTGTGTGTGTGTTGTATATACAGAAGTGTACTCAAATGAGAATGGTAGATAGTGAAATAAATAATAATAAATCTATACCATTGGATTTAACATATCAATGGTCATGATCAAGTCAAATTTTATTAATGTCAATCAAACATGCGTGGCAATCTCGTAATAAAGTGGTCATGTTGTGGTCAAATATATGAATTTGACCACTTATTAAGGCTATTTTGGTCAATACCCAACTCTTCGTTCTTATGGTTGAGACAATTATATCGAACCTTTTGCTTCCCCCTTTTGTGTTGTGGCTGATCAAGCACCATATGGTCTGATTCGATAGCTTCTGTTCTATCTGTTATGCTCTTTAGGGCTTCAGGACAGACTCTTTGACTCCCCCATACATAGTGGACCCCACCCCAGCCACTAACCCTATATCATTTTCTCTCATATACTCACAGACAAAACACACAATAACCCACGCGCGCACACACACACACACACACACACACAGAGTCACCGGCACCACCACAGTTACCACCAGATACACATTCTTTGTACAAACACACACACACACACACACAGAGGAAGAGTCACTGGCGCCGCCACAATTACCACCAGATACACATTTTTTGTACACACACACGTCTGAGTCTGCCACAGGCCATTGGCGACCCCGCCACCAATTGTCGTCAGCATAGGCAGTTCAGAATCCCGCAAGCCTTCAACTGCGGCCTTTCGTCGGTGTTCTAGTTCGTAGTGCCAGCCTACACCTTCCACGAGCAACAAAACCCCTTCGTCGGTTTCGATCGCCTCTAGCTATTTCCAGCCTCTGACATAGGCTGTCGCCGATGACAGTCACAACATGCCCGTCCACCTGCTTCAATCTCCGGCGACTCCAGCCCCTTTTGAACACACAACTATCCATAAAAGATTCGAGAACGTCGCGCTGTGGCTATCACTTTTCCGGTCACCCCCTTACATTTGCCGTGATATTTAGTTTCGAGAACTCAAGGCCATGTATGTCTCGAGGTTGTTCTGCGTCAGCGTACAACTGGCCGTCGAGGAGGGGTAGGCGGCGGGCTGTTGGTGGTGAAGAGTGTTGTGAACTGTAGGGTGTATTTATGTGTTGGGCCTCCATTTGAGAATTCGGTAGGTCCAAGGATTTTAATTGCAAACTTAAAAACTTTAATAAGCTAAACTGGGATCTCGTACGAAACTGAGAATGTGATCATGACAGCACATTGAAAGAAAGCGGCTCGTGGCTTTCATATCTTGGTAAATAAGAGATCGATCCCGTAGTTCAATCCCCTTCTATGACTTCACTTCGCTTAGCTTCGTTCGTTGGGTTAAAAAGTGTATCCACCCGGTCCAGGGAAGGTTCATTTATGAAGCTCTCACGTTCTTGGTCAAGTAATGGCTGACGCTTCATTCTCGCTTTTGGATCATCTCGCCTTCGTGGGGCTTTTGGCTCGAAAAAAAGAAACAAGCTAAGTTTCAAATTAAAACTCCACGTCACTTCTGGTTTAGCCCGAAGACACAAGAAAAGCACTTCGACTTGTTCATTGGTCGTCAGAAATGGCTTAGAGCCAGTCGTTCAGTATGTAATGAATCTTTCCATTCTAATATTCTATTCGATAGTACTCTGTTCCTATCTAACGAAAGGCTATTGATCAAATGACAACGGCATTGCTAAGAAAAAGATGAATATTCCCGGATGAAATGCAAATTCATGTAACAGGAAAAAGATTTTCCATTTCTTAGCCGGAAAGATATGTGGCTATGAAAGAGGAATTAAGTGGAACAGAACTGGCTGGGTGGTAGAGTGGTGGATACGTTTTTTTTTAGAATGATAAAGAATTTTATAGATAAAATGCACAAAAGTATCGGGCCGGTAGGCCCGGTGGCCCGTGGCCACCTCTAGTAAATGCCTCATAAAAAATATTTGCACAAGCCATTTAATTTAATGTGTTTTTATTTTTTTTTCCCTTCTCAATATGAAGAAAAGGATTTTCTTGAAGTACCCCTTGAGAGGGGTTCCTTCCTGTAATCCTGTCGTTGTTGAGCAGGGCTATAAAAGTAAATTGCATAGTCAAAGAGTGAGGTCAATGATCTACGTTGTCTTCTCTACTTTGTCAGTCAACTATAAAGTATTAAAAACGGCACGAAGCTTCTGCTTTTCTAGCCTACGACCATTTCAAAACTCCCCAAATATCATAATCACAATAACTCAACAAATCGCTACAATACAAATTGTCCGCCATCTCATCTGCAATGAATTTTCCCAAAAGTCTCTTGCACACAGATTTTTTCAAAGTCAACTAACGTGTTTGATACAGCCCTCAACTTTTTTTTTTTTCTTGGTTTGTCTTTGAGTTGATATGAATCTCAGTAAAATTAAGCGCAGCCCCAATTAAAATCACTAAAACAACATCAAAGCTTCCGAAACCTATTTTCTTCCTTGTTTCACCTCACATGGTTTGATGAAGAGAATGAATTATAATCCAATGAAGCTTGCCCAGAATGTAGTTTTCGTTTTCATACCTCTCCTTCTCATAAATCGAGCTGATTCGAGCTGCCCAAGTTCTTTCGAGTGTGGCGATTTGGGAACCCTAGAATTCCCCCTTTCAAATAGAAGGGACTGCGGCTTGTTCATGGTCGAAAACTGTACGGCACAATTTCCAGTTATTCATTTTGGGGCAGATGATGGGCATCCGTATACTATCCTACGAAAATTGTCGGCTAATAGGTTTTTGATTAACGATGAAGTGATTTCGGTGCATCTCAGAACATCCGTTTGTTTTGGTTTGAGAAATTTGTCCCTGCCTCTGTCTCCATTGGCTTCATTCACAGTTACGCCGAATATGACTGTGTTTTTGTGCTCAAGTCAGCTTTCTTACGAACGAAATTTCGAGCATTACAACTATACAAATTGCTCGCCTTTTCAAGTGTACTATAGGTACCCATCTACTGGTTATCCTGTTCCCGATAATGTCCCTTCAGATTGTTCGGTTATTCAAGTTCCTGTTGGGTCTGGCAGGAATCCATATAATCTTACTGATTTGATAAGTTCTGAATATATTGTGGAGTGGAATGTTTCTGAAGATTGTTACGAGTGTCACCATGAAGGCGGCAAATGCCTTACCAATCACATGAATCATTTCCACTGTGATAGAGGTATTTTACATAAATTATTACTTTAGAGTTTTTGGTTACCAATGGAAATGAGAAAATGGAACAGTATCCTTTAATTTGTTGAACTGCATATCTCATTAATGTCAATTGCTAGTGCCCAAGCTGACTGGTGTCCTTTTTTTTTCTACCTTTTGTTTTTATGTTTATTGGAGCAGATAATAGACGACGAAAGGTGGTGATAGGAGTTGGTAAGTAAATGCAAAACAGGTCTATTTTCTCACAATTTATCACATACCACTCTTCTTGTTATCAGTTGCAAAGCTAATCTGCTAATTTATGATCTGTGAAGCTTCCGGAGGAGGGGTGTTGCTTATTATGAGCTTCGCGGTTGCTTCCTATACATTATGGCAACGGAAGAAGAGAATGAACAAGAACTACCTCCTATCGAGAAACTTATCTTTCGACCCATCCTCCAAATCAGACGTGGAAGGCGGAGGAAGCTTCTACTTCGGCATCCCGATTTTCTCCTACACAGAACTTGAGGAGGCCACCAATAACTTCGATCCGTGCAAAGAACTCGGTGATGGTGGCTTCGGGACCGTATACCATGGTTAGTAAACTAAATTAGCATGGTTAGTAAATGCTATGTTTGGTAGCCAAATAAGCTAGCTTATAAGCTTTCTGTATTTAAATAAGCCTCGTTTGGTAGGACGGACTTTTTTAAAAAGCTCGAGCTTATGTAATAAGCTTCTTTAGGTAGCTTTTTAAATAAACTAGTTGAAATTTTTATTTCAGCTAGCTTATCAGCTAATTTTATATATAAGCTAGTTTTTCAGTTATAAGTCATAAGCTAGAAGCTCAAAAATTACGTATAAGCTAAAAATTACGTATAAGCTATAAGTTAGCTTATCAGCTAGTTTTACCAAACATAGCCTTGTGAAACAAAACAGGGAAGCTACGTGACGGGAGGGAAGTAGCTATAAAGCGGCTCTACGAGCACAACTACCGCCGAGTCGAACAATTCATGAACGAAATAAAAATCCTCACTACGCTCCGCCACCAGAACCTCGTCTCTCTATACGGCTGCACTTCCCGCCGAAGCCGTGAGCTCCTCCTCGTCTACGAGTACATCCCAAACGGCACAGTGGCCGACCATCTCCACGGCAACAAGAAGCCGCGGGCCCACCTCCCTTGGCCCGTCCGCTTGCGCATCGCCCTCGAGACGGCCACGGCTCTCGCCTACCTCCACAAATCCGACATCATCCACCGAGACGTCAAAACCAACAACATCCTCCTCGACGCCAATTTCCGAGTCAAAGTTGCCGATTTCGGCCTCTCGCGACTCTTCCCCAACGACGTCACGCACGTCTCGACGGCCCCACAGGGGACGCCCGGATACGTCGACCCGGACTACCACCAATGCTACCATCTAACCGATAAAAGTGACGTGTACAGCTTCGGGGTCGTCTTGATCGAGCTTATATCGTCCATGCCAGCTGTCGACATCACGAGGCACAGGCACGAGATCAATCTCGCCAGCCTGGCGTTGAATAGGATAGGGAGGTGCGAGTTTGGGGAGCTCGTGGACCCCGCGCTTGGGTTCGGGACGGATGCTGAGGTGGCGAGGATGACGACGGCGGTGGCTGAGCTGGCGTTCAGGTGTCTGCAGCCGGATAAGGACTTGCGGCCGGCGATGGACGAGGTGGTTGAGTTTTTGAGGGATGTGAAGGGTAGTTTGGGGAATGTGCCGATGGAGAAGGAGACTGACGAAGACGTGTTGCTTGAGGAGAAGAATTTGGAGGGGTCGCCGAAGACGGTTACGGATATGTGGGCGAGTAGCGGCTCGACTACATCGAGTTCGGTTTCTTGATTATTATTATTTTTATTATTATATGTTTAAAATGTTTATTTAGTTTTATTTAGAGCTTTGCTTGCTTGCTTTTTGGAATATTGGGGTGGGAGATCATCTTTAGCTGCTTTGGCTGTTTATTGTTTGTGTAATTTTCGTCATTCACCACAGTCGAAGGGGCTTGTTTTTTGGGTAGATCCTCCTTTCGGGTTTCGTATGTATAGTCTTCTCTGTGCTGGTATGAAGTATGTAAATTGCAGTTGATTATAGAATAGATGAAAGGCGAAAANTCTTATATGCAAGCTTTCGTTATCTAGTTGGTGTGTATCAAGAAATGCGGTCCATGTACTTTTCCATGGCTCTTAATTTAGTCCGCGGCATTGAATAGTATATAGTGGTGAATGTCAGTCACGGGTACGGATCCTGTCACGAGGTCTTATAAACTTGGAACATGGGTGTATTATTCCTTAATTTTGTTCTCTCTTTTTAAGTTAATTTTCTGTTTTGAAAGGGTCAATCCTTTGCTATCGTGACATTGATGAGAGTTTACTAGTAATCGTAGACTTGGCAAATCAAAATCTGAAGAGGTCGTTTACTTCAGAAAAGCATTTAATCTCATATTCAATTATACATAGTTTATCATCTCCTTATAAGAAAATATCTAAATCTTGGGATTATTAAATGGAAAATCAGATTTGGTGTAAATATAAAAACCAAGCCAAGGAAGAAAGTTTTTATTATATTAAGAAATAGCACCAAGGAGAAAATCAATCGAACTCTTTTCTGCACTGCAAATCTTTGATGCAACAAG